GAGATGGGCAGATAATCAAACCATTACGAATTTCTGAATGTCCTCGTGTTGTTTCACTGCAGCGCTTTCTTGAATGAGATCAACTTTGTTCTGAACGATAATGATATGCTTAAGGTGCATCATATCGACAGAAGCAAGATGTTCAGCTGTTTGTGGTTGCGGACAAGTCTCATTCGCAGCGATTAGAAGTAGAGCACCATCCATTATAGCTGCTCCATTAAGCATAGTCGCCATCAGAAGATCATGTCCCTAATGAAATCAAAACAAAAACATCTCATTGTGACATAAGCCAATATATTGGTTATAGGAGAAGTGAACAGAGAAGTGTAAAAACTCATTATACGTACCGGACAATCGACAAAAGAGACATGCCTCAGTAGTTTCATCTTGCATTTCTCAAATCCAGGAACATCACAATCCGGTTTGTCTTCTTTTCCACTCCCGTAAGACCTAGAAATTCAGAGAGATATATGTTTGCTATGGGAATCATCATTAGAAGAAGATCTAAAAAGCAAGCAAACAAGAATTCACTTACTTGTAGCACATTGGTCTAGGGCACTTATCATCCTCACATTTGTAAATCTTTGCATTTGCATATCCAAGTTTAATGGTAATGTTACGCTCCATTTCATTCTTGAAACGAACAGTCTGCACGTGCACCCTTATCTAGTGAGAAAAAATCAAGTTCATAAGATACACAAGCTGAATAGTCCATCATTACCTGCACACCAGAAATAGCTTTGACAATAGTTGACTTGCCGTGTGCGACATGACCAATGGTTCCTGATCATCAGACATACAACAATAGTTATCATTCTATAGCTTCTGGTGCACAATCGAATTATATAGAAACATGCACGTCACTTGGTAAGGAGAAGTTACCTATGTTTATGGTTGCTTGGCGAGAGATGACCTCAGGAGACAGAGGATGGAGTAAACTTACATCAAGTTTACTTACATCTTGTTCAGCTAAACCCTTGTTCTTAAACATTGATTACGACAAAGTTCACAACTTTAGTAGATCAGAGTCGATACCGGTAAGCTCAAACAACACAGACGTTTATAAGGCTTGTATACAACTTTATAAAATTCTTATCGATGGATAGCAAAATTCTACAAGTTTTCTTTGGAGGAGTTTTAGAGGTGGATCGGAGTTTGAAGGTTTTTATGTGTAACTATTAGGGTTTTTCGTGTCTTTTTTTTTTTGTTATTTCCATTTGTCTTATTTTTGTTATTTCCATTTGTTTATAAGAAAATTTAGAAAAAAAATTTGCATTTTTTTTTCCTTTT